GATGTTTTTTTGCTTCCCCAAGCAGGATGGTCTGAAGGCCATGACGAATATGACGAATGCCAAGCGACCACAGCTGACCACCAGGTGTTTCAAGAAAGCTCGCGGTGGGGCTGCCTGGGTCCAAGGTGGATGGTCTATACTTCTGTGGGGAAGACCGCATGGTTAAGGCAACCCTCACCTTTTCTTAAAGCACCTCGTTGTGTAGCCTATCCGTAAGGGGGAATCCGCAAGTCCCTTGTGACTGAAAGACGCGGAATACTGCGGACCCCGCCTTTCCAGCAGCACACCTGCTGCTGGGACAGCATCTTGCTGAACTCGCAGAGATGCGAAGGGCAGTGATGCCAATGCCTGCAGCAGCTGGTTCTACAGTGGTCATGCAGGTTTCGTCCAAGGGAGACTCTTCTCATTGGTTTCCTGTGGGGACTTTGGACCTTCCCAATTTTTCAAGGAATGGCCAGGCGATGGCACACTCGATGGCCTGGGCACTCTCGAACGGACCTCAATCTACTGAGAGGATGAAGCCATGGGTCTGCGATGGGTAAAGCCATAAGGTGGACGGCATGGTACTGTGGCCAGTTCTGCTGACGTTTGCTCACTTTTTTTGCAAGCCCCTGAGGCCGAGGCATTGGCATACTTCATGGCACCGACAGAAGGGGCACCCCGCACCATGTCCAAACCACCCACTATTCATCGAGCGATGATGGGCGATGCCTCTGAATTCACAACCTGGCCTCCCTCTATCAGTAAGGCCATGCAAGGCCATGCAAATCAAATGTCTTCATACGATGTTTCCAAAGCAGTCAGGCTATGCAAGGCCATGCAAACTAAGGTCTTCATACTTCGTGCACTGTTTTCTGAGCGCTACCACCGTGAAGGCATATCTGCAAAGTTGGGTGTTGGTATGTTGCGACTCTAGCCTTGCTCGCAAACTGCTGCGGCTATATATGGGTGAGCTGACAACCATTCACAAACGTCAAAAAAACACAGCCAAAAATCGTTGTGTGCCCCCAAAGAGTGTGAAGCGAGAGTGTCCCACAAGTCCCCATGAATCTTATCATTTCATCCCATTGTATTGGTTGGTCAATAGGTATCCGCATCATGGGTTATCATGATGCAATACAAATTAGGTAACCAATCAACATCAGAGTCTGGGTATCCAGTGTCAGAAATCGAGGCCTATACCCTACTGTAATCAAACATGGCAATTGAAAACCCCCCCTAAAAGTGGATGCTTTATATAATGGGAGATCACCTCTATATAAATGGAGGAGTTTCCATTGCCATGTTTACCCTCGTCTGTTGCCAGGGGGGGGGTGAGGCACCTAAAAAAATAAAATAAAATGCAGGGGCCTAAGGAGAAAATGCCAATAAAATGAGAGGGCATAAGGTAAGATAGGAAAACCCAAGCAAAATACAATGGACAGGTACAAAAAGAAAATGACGTCGGCACCCTCCACCTGGCCACTGGTGGACCTACGTTATGCAACTGTTGGACCTCGGGCTCCGGCATTTTCTTTTGGGTTGATCTTGTTTTGTCTTGTTTCCTTCTTTGATTGGTTTTAACCATGTTTAGTCTTGTTTAGTCCTTTACATTGTTTCCTTATTTGATTGGTTTTAACCATGTTTAGTCTTGTTTAGTCTTGTTTAGTCCTTTACATTGTTTCCTTATTTGATTGGTTTTAACCATGTTTAGTCTTGTTTAGTCCTTTACATCGTTTCCTTATTTGATTGGTTTTAACCATGTTTAGTCTTGTTTAGTCTTGTTTAGTCCTTTACATTGTTTCCTTATTTGATTGGTTGATCTATTTTAGTTTTGTTTATATATAATTGGTTCCACTTCTGACATCTGGACGGTTTCTAGAAAAGATACAAATAACTATAAATAAACTTAAGAAATCTCATTGGCTGCTGTAAGCTGCCCGTGTGTCTTTTGTTGACCAAGGAAGGCAATAGAAAATGAGGGGGACCAACCCATTTTCGAAGTTAATGTCCAAATAATGGAAAAGGAAACGAAAAAGGAAAGGAAAAAGGAAAGGAAAAAGGAAAGGAAAAAGGAGAGGAAAAAGGAAAGGAGAAGGAAAAGGAAGAGACAGGAAAAAGGAAAGGGAAGGGAGAGGAAAGGGAAAAAAAAAACAGTGTCTCACACGAACCATTTTTGATGCCAAAAGTTATCGTTTTCGTTATCATTTTATTAGCGTTCGTGAATCCGCTGGAACGTTTCACAAAATGATCAGGCCGTTCACAGTTGTGCATCTTTGCTATGATGCTATCTCTGTCGGTTAACTTGATGGGTTAGGCACCTCAAAAAATAAAATGCACCCACAAAATAAAATGCAGGGGTCTGACCCATTTTATTTTCATTTTATTTTCATTTTATTTTTATTTTTTTTATTTTAAAAGGGGCTTCAGCCCCCCCATTCTATTTAGGTACCCCGGACGGGGGTCATGTTTGATTACGAAAGGGTTAGAACCAACAAGATGGGACGCAAACGGTGGACTTACATATGGGCTATGGGCTACATCACATACATAAAAATACAACATGTATGTGATAAATGTACGTGTGGCCCCTCCATTCAAGAATACACACGGCTTTCCAAAAGGAGATGGTTTCTTCTTTAAACATTGGCAATCCAAAATCCCGCCAGGCCCGCCAGGTTCAACAGCGATTTGAGTGACCAAATTACAGTAGCCATTCCAGAAAGGCACCACCTCTTTCCGAAGTCATGGCGGCAGTAGTCCAAGTGAGCACTCATCTTTACGGAAACAGAGGAAACCTTTGTGGTTTCAAGGTGATGCCCATTACCCACCCAACTGGGAGACTGATTTCCTTGAAAGAAGCCGTACCAGGCAAAATATGCAAAATGCCGTCAATCACTCTCCATCCTGGCAGGCGGGAAGGATACTGCAAGATGCTGCGATGCTGTCCCAAAATGGTGGACATAGCAAGATTGAAATCTTGATACGAAAAACAAATTTTTCCCCAATCATTCGCAAACAGGTTCGGTTTATCATAATTTTATATAACTTTCCATTTTGGGGCCGGCAAAACAGCCCCAGCAAAACAATCTACATCAAAATCTCTTATTAACAGATCTTGCGTACGCACAGCTTACTAGAGGGAAAGAAGGGGTGAATAGTCTGAACCCAGAGCCAAACCATTATTAAGGCTTAATAACAAATGTGCCAAAACCATCATGTGAACAGTGAATTTTCTGTCTGCAGCTATGGTGATCGACATGACTTTCTGGGCGTGATTTCCTCCAAAATGCCAGTCACTTATTAAGCCTTATTAAGCGCTATGCCAATTTCATGCCATTTTCATGTGATTTTCTCAGTCTTCAGACACACAAAATCAATTTACCTTATTGATCCCTATTAACAGATGCTCTTCCCCAGGTCAAATTTCGGTTGTTTTTTTTCCAAATTCTATGCCATGACATGACACTCGTTTAATCGAAGGAAGTTTAGAAGTCAAACTTCCGACAATATGGACAGATGAAAAGCAGAGCAGGGAAGAGGCAGAGAGAAGAGAAAGATTAGAAGAAAGAAGAGTAGAAGAGAAAGAGTAAGAAGAAAGAAGATGCAGATGCGCGAAAAGGTGGGAAAGTCGCGAAACACTGTGTTTTTCCAATGATTTGGGGCTCCGGAGGGTGGAAAAGTAGGCTCGCTAAAGCGGCGGGTGCGGAGCCAGCTGGCCAGATGAGAGATGAAAAAGTGCACGCCGTTGTGCCGCGAAGCACATTTGCAAGTCAAAATGTAGAAAACACACCAGCGTCGGACCACTTTTGGAAGTTGAGATGTTGAAAAAGCGCACGCCGTGTGGCGCGAAGCACATTTCCAAGTCAAAATGTACAAAACACACCAGGTTCGGACCACTTTTGGAAGTTGAGATGTCGAAACAGTGCACGCCGTTGTGGCGCGAAGCACATTTCCAAGTCAAAATGTACAAAACACACCAGGTTCGGACCACTTTTGGAAGTTGAGATGTCGAAAAAGTGCACGCCGTTGTGGCGCGAAGCACATTTCCAAGTCAAAAGTGTTAAAAACTGACGGTCTCGGACCACTTTTGGAGGTTCAGATGTCGAAAAAGTGTCGAAAAGTGCACGCCGTTGTGGCGCGAAGCACATTTCGAAGTCAAAAGTGTAAAAAACTGAGGGTTTTGAGCCTTTTTTGACGTGAAGATGTCGAAAAAGTAGACGCTGATTAACTTAACTAACTTGACTAACTTCACTAACTCAACTATCCTAACTTCGACGACAACAGCAACAGCAACAACAACAACAACACCAACCACAACAACAACAACAACAACACCAACCACAACAACTACAACTACAACAACTACAACTACAACAACTACACAACAACTACAACTACAACTAGAACTACAACTACAACAACTACAACAACAACAGCAGCAACAACAACAACAGCAACAACAACAACAACTACAACTACAACTACAACAACAACTACTACTACTACTACTACTACTACACTACACAACAACTACAACCACACAACAACTACAGCTACAACTACAACAACAACTACAACAACTACAACTACAACTACAAAACAACTACAGCTACAACTATATGACTGCAACTACACTACACTAATTACATTACACCGCAACTACAACTCCACTACGCTACAACTACAACTACAGTTGCAGTACATCGCACTACATCCAGCAGGTGAGGAAGAGGTGACCACTGCAACCATTGCAACCACTCCAGCAAACACAACTCCAACCACCTTTCGGTCAATCAGTGGCATCGCTCTGCCATCCCTGATTCACAACAACCAACGTCTCCTATAGGTTTCCTATTTTTGAAACTTCCGCCACCGCCTTGTGCGGTACTACTGGTAAGCATTAAGAAGCTTACGTACATTTTACAGTGCATCATTGGAGCATGTATGTATATCATAATGTTCCCCAGATTTCAACGATATCAAAAGTGTTGCGCCCCAGTTTCCTTTCTGCGTTTTGC